AGGAGGAGGAGGAGGAGGAGGAGGAGGAGGAGGAGGAGCGAGCAGGGGGCGGAGGGGCCGGAAGAAGAGAATGAGGCGGAGGTGGCGAAGGATGATACGGGGGAGGCTGGGGTTGGCAGGGCGCCCGCGGGGTGGGTGGACAGAGGCGCAGCTCCCCCCGCCAGGAGCGGTCGCCCATCCCGAGGCGGGCCAGGGCGCATGCGCTCGCCAGGGCGAGGAGGGGGCAGGGAGGAGGAAGGGAGGGATCGGGGAGGAGGAAGGGAGGAAGGGAGGAATGGAGGAGGAGGAGGAAGGGAAGGGAAGAGGAGAAAGGGAGGAGGAGGAGGAGGAGGAGGAGGAGGAGGAGGAGGAGGAGGAGGAGGAGGAGGAGGAGGAGGAGGAGGAGGGAGTAGGAGGAAGTAGGAGAAAAGGGAGGAGGAGGAGAGAGGAGGAGTGAGGAGGAGCAGCAGAAAAGGGAGGAGGAGGAGGAGGAGGAGGAGGAGGAGGAGGAGGAGGAGGAGGGCGAGCTGAGACAAGGGTGGTTGGCCTTCGGGAGGCCCTCTCCTCGCGACGGCTGGACGCGGCTCGGGGAACGGGTGCGCTTAGGCGCGGGGAGGGGTCCTGGGACCGATTTTGAGCTGCCGTCGTCTCTGGTCGCCCTGCTCCGAAGCAAGGAATGGGGGGGAGGATGAGCGGGATGCATGACGAGGAGAAGGAGGAGGAGGAGGAGGAGGAGGAGGAGGAAGAGGATGAGGGAAACAGGAAGGAGGAGGAGGAGGAGGTGGAAGAGGCGGAGTAGGAGGAGGGGGATGAGAGAGTGGAATGGAGACGGCCACCATGTGCGCTCATGGATTGGGTAAAAGTGTGGGCGCTCACCTGTCGGAAAGTTCGCCGTGCGTGCAATTCGCTGGGTGGTTCTGCCACTTCGAGCGCCGACCGTGCGCATGCTCTGCGAACTTCCTCGGAGGTCTGGGGCGCGCCCGCGGAGTGCCGTTGCCCGCGAGAGGGTGGGCCGTGGGCCGGCGGAACGCACCCTCTCGGAGCCCTTGGGGCGGCCTCCCCATGAAGGGGGCGCCTCCGAGGGCGGAGGGGGCAGGACAAACGATGGGCCGGGTAGGACCACCACCTCTCCTCCTACTCCTCCTCCTCCTCCTCCTCCTCTCCTCCTCCTCCTCCTCCTCCTCCTCCTCCTCCTTTCTCTTCTTCTTTTCCTTCTTCTTCTTCTGTTGTTTCTTCTTCTTATTTCTGCACGTCCCCTGGTCCTCCCCTCGTCCGTGCACGCGCCTCGGGTCATGCTTTTTGCGAACCCCTTCTTGGACGCCCCCGAGTGGCGGTGAGGAGGCCGAGCCGAGCCGCTCGGGAGGGCGGTCTTGGGGAAGGGAGGACGATGGGCACCAGCGGGAGGAGTTCCATGCGCCAGCTGAGCGGGCCATCTGCCATGTGGATGCTTCGAAGTGTGCGCCGAAGGAGCGCACGCCCCCGAGCAGTTTTCGGGCCTGCGGAAGGGCGTCCCGAACGGCGTTCAATGCGCCCGCCGATCTCAGCACCGCCCGAACGCGACCGCGACCGTCCCGCCCCGCCGCGTCCGTGCTCATCGTGCTGGCCATGCATGACCAATTTGAGCATGGACGGCCAGCCCAGGGAGACGGGGAGGATGTGGCCGCAGCAGGGAGGGCTAGGAGGAACTGCCCCTCCCACTCCTGCTTCTTCTTATTTTTTTCTCCGGGGCACGCGGTGCTTGCACGACGTTTGTCGTGTGGTGGAAATCGTGGAACTCGGCGGAAGAGCTGTGAGAGTTGCAGATCGGCGGCCAGCCCGGCGGGGAAGCGAGAAGGGACGGGCCTTCTCAGAAGGCTCGGAAGTCCCCCGGCCTCATGACAAGTTCTAGAAGCCTTCCCGGAAGGCAGAAAAGGCTTCTCAGAAGGCGCGAGGGTTTCTGAGAAGTCCCGCCGCCTTCTGAGATTGCCGCCGAGTTGAGGGTGGTGCGGTGGCGGAGGAGGGCACAGGCAGGGGGTGAGGAGGGGCCAGCTGAGCTCTAGGACGGCGGTGAGTTAGGGCCACGCAAGCCGCTTATCCCAACAGCGCAGGCCGCAATCCCGATTGAGACGCCTTACAACGCATCGAACAGGCGTGGCCCTAAGCGTACGCGCCTGGTTTCGTAAGCATGGCTCTGACCACCCTCGACCGTTGCGAACGCGGTGTGGAGTGCATCTGGCTCAAGCCCGGTCCAAATGTACATCGAACGGAAGTGCGATTGGTTCGCAGGCGTTTCGAACGGGATGGTCGATCACGCTGTCTATGATCGTGTCCGGGAGCAGTGGAGCGAGAAGCATGCACATGGGGAGGATTGATGGTTAGAACAAACATGTGGAGGAGGAGGATTTGGGGAATGACGATAATGATGTGAAATATGGATGAGGATGATGAAATCGGATGATCAGGATGAGGAGGAGGAGGAAGAAGAGGAGCAGGATGAGCAAGATTATTGCAAGGGAGGGGGGGGGGGGACTGGATGAGTAGGAGCAAGAGAAGGCGTGCCGGAAAGCGGAACATGATGATGATCGGCTCGAGGGGGATGCGAGGAAGCGTGAGATGCACGGAGGGGGGATCGGGCGGGCGATCAAGACGACGAGAAGGGGAATCGCGGCGAGGAGCATGGCGAGGAGGAGGGGGTGAGAGGGGGGAGCGCACGCTGGAGGATGTGTTTTGGGGAAGACGGCCAGGGCGGAGCACGGGGAGGGCGACGTCGCAGAGAGGCGGCGGCAAGGGGAGGGGGAGAGGGACGAGGCGGGCAGGGGGACGCGGAGGCGGAGGCGGAGGAGGAGGGGGAGGCGGAGGCGGAGGAGGAGGAGGAGGAGGAGGAAGGAGGAGGGGGAGGAGGAGGAAGAGGAAGAGGAAGGAGGAAGAGGAGCGGAGGGGGAGGCGGAGGCGGAGGAAGAGGAGGAGGAGGAAGAGGATGAGGAGGAGGAGGAGGAGCAGGAGGAGGAGGTGTGAATGCTTGGGCGACGGCCTGCTGTTGGTGGGCGCGCAGCAGCAAGAGGAGGTGGGGAGGGACGAGGCGGGCAGGGGGAAGGGGAGGCAGAGGAGGAGGAGGTGCGGGTGCTCGGGCGACATGCGAGCTGCGGGGGGCGCGGAGGAGAGGAGCATCATGCCTCACAGTCGCCGCTGAAGAATTTCGGAGGGGTCGATGGGCCTTACCCCATGTACGCAACCTTCGCACCGCTGGATCCGCCCAGGGGACCTGGCAGAGCACGCTTGAACGACATGTGTGAGACAATGCGCCCAATCGGATCTCGCCTCAACGACCAGCAGGAGCCCCCGATTGCCACTCTGCGCGCAGCATCAGACCCGCGGATTGAATTCACAACGCGCAAGTGCAGCTCTGCCGTCTTCCGTGATGTAAAACCCTAGGACCTAGGATTCCGGTACGCCGCTAGAGGAGGCGGGGGCAAAATGACAGACAACTTCGACGTGGTTGCCGTGGGCGCGCCCCCGATGGCCAATCTGTACGCAGTATCCGACCCGCGGATTGCGTTCGCAACGCACAAGCGCAGCTCTGCCGTCGTCCGTGATGTGGAGCCCTGGAATTCCTCTGGTGCGCCGCCAGAGCGACGGGGGCACGAGGACAGACAACCTCGACGTGGTTCCCAGCCAATTCTGGCGGTCATTTCGCTTGCTTGCTATTCCGGCCCATCACTCTAGGCCATTCTCGGGGGGGAGAGGGGGAGAGAGAGAGAGAGAGAGAGAGAGAAACCCCAGAACAAGCCGACCAAGCCTGTAATTACACCACCGTGACGAAGGTCTCAGGAGTTTCGCTCAATCTGCCCTCGCCAGCAGCGCATCAGCGTGGAGTAGTTCGCAGCAGAAATATTCCAACTACTCCGGTCGTGGGCGCATCCCGCTCGATCATTCATAGGGGTTTGGAGCGGAGTAGCTTCCAATCCGGTTTTGGGGTAGTAAGCTATAAGCATTAGGCGGATCGGAAACTACTCCGCCGAATGACGCAGTCATCATGTCATGTTAGGAATACCGAGGGGGATCGGAGACATCATCATCATGGCAAAGTGAAGGAACTTTTGTCACGTCTGTGTGCAATGCATGTCTGGCGGCTCTGCTGACTGCCAGGCGACGTTTTTGCCACTTGCTGTCAGTGGATGTCTTCGGACGAACAAGGGTGACACTACGAATAACGAGTACTCTGTCTCGGTCGCATATTATGGGAGCCGTGTGTACCGTCTTAATTCCGTCTTTAGCGTTGAGCAGCGTTTGGTAATCAATGAGACAGCGCCGCTTTAGCGTCGATTAGCGTTGATTTAGCGTCGATCACGTTCGACTGGTGTCGATTAGCGTCGGCCAGCAAAACGGTATGGGAGGCTCCCGTGAGTTGCCACCGACCTCGGACTTCAGGGTACACAGGGGCTCTCGAAACGAGCCTGGATGCACCCACACAGCCGCGTGCAGAATGGTGTCGGGGGCGAGCCGCTCCCCGACCTGCTCGGCGGTCGCTGCGTCTGCGTTGCGCCGTGCTGTGAGCACCACACGCAGTCCCAGCCAAGATTGACGCGTCGTGTAACCCCGCCAGCCCATCTGGAGACGATGCCCACTTGGAGCGTCTTGGGTGCCTCTGGGAATCTCTGGGGGCCTCTTTGGGGTCTCTTGGAAGCCTCTTGGAGGCCTCTTGGGCGCCTCTTGGGGCCTCCTGGGCGCCTCTTGGGGCCCTCTTGGGGCGCTCTTGGAAGCCTTGGAGGCGCTCTTGAGAGCCATTTTGGAGGAGATCGATCAAAAAATGGGGGGGACCTAATTGGCCTTGCCCCTCAGAGGGAGGGGTTGGAAACGACACCGCTCTAGACCACCTGCGCCCAGAGGGCTGGTGGGATCCTCGCGGTTATTTCGCTTGCCAGCCCACCATTCTGGGCCTGGGCCATCTTCGGGGGCGCAAGCGACACCGCGCCTCGCGCCTTCGTCGTCCTGGCCGGAGGGTTGCGAGTCTCCGGGCCAGCCTCGCGCGACGGCGCGAAAGGGCGGCGCCCTCGCTTCGAGCCCTTCCGCCCGGCGCCCAGCGTGCGGCGCGGGCAGCTCTGTGGCCTACTGTCAGGTGCTCGCCTCTCCGGTCCGCCACTTGTCAGAGGGGGAAGGGGTACTCCAGATTTCGTAGTAAAAGGGAGGGGGTCTGGACCCTCCAAGACAAGCCATTTCAGACCTCCCCCGTGGGAGACCCCTCCAAAACATCGTCCCCAGACCCCCCCAGGCCCTCCAAGATAGCCTGGAAGAGACCCCCCCCCGAAATGAGACCCCCCTCCCTTTACTACGAAATCTGGAGTACCCATGCCTCTACCCTTCCTTCGTTTTCCCCTTTTCGGGCCTCCTGGGAGGCCCTCGTCGCCACCGCTGGATTCGCCTCGAAATCCTTGTCAGAACGCTCCCCGGGAGAGGTCCTGGGAGTTGCGGTATGGTTACCTTTTGGTTTCCCCAATTCGGTCTCGGTTCTGAGTCGGTTAGGGGTCTGAGGTGGCCCAGCATTGGTTCTGGCCAGCAGGGAGGGGGGCGAGGTTCGAGGAACTCTTGGTTCGAGAGGCTGTGTCTTGCCCTCTCTGGCCTGCGGGGGCCGTCTTCGGGCCCCGGACCGGTCAAAGCCGGATCCAGAGTGACAACTTGCACCAGATGGAGCCCGGGATGGATTTGGCGGACCGATTTTGAGCGGATCTGCCCTTAACCCCCTTTACCTCCTCTCTGGACGGATTCTCGCGGGCCCTTGCGGCTCAGACCCCGAGGCCGCCTCCGAGCTTCGTGGTCGTGCCCACCGTTCCCTCTGCAGCTTCTGGTTGCCTCCGCCCGCTCGCCGAGCCGCGGAGCCGGCCGCCGCAGCCAAGCATTGCGCACGGGATCCACCTTGGCTCGTGCTTGCGCCCGCCGGAGCGCCGCGCGCCCCCCGGCGCGTCTCTCGCCTGATCTGGCGGCGGCCCGCGGAGCGGAAGTGTGTGCGGCGTGGCGTGCAGCTTCGGAGAAGCTCCCAGCCCGCGGCCCTGCTGGGATCGGTGGCGGTCCATCTGGACGCCCGACATGGGCACTGAAAGAGTGGGTACAATGCCCAACAGCAGTTCCTGTTCATTTTGAACAGGGCTCGCTGTCCGCGCCGCCGCGGCCTGTGTCCGTTCGAGACAGAGGGCCGCCTGTCCAGCAGCGGCCGCTGTTGGTTTGGGACAACATTTGTTGTTGGGCATTGTACCCATTCTTTCGGTACCCATTTCGGGTGTCTGGAGTCCAGGTAGGGACGATGGGCTCGAAGCCGAGCCACGAGGTCCGGGTAAGGACTAGCCCCCGACATTTCAGAGCGAGGCCTTCACCCGGCAGAACACGTGCCGATCCGCGCGCGCCAGCAGGCACGCGTCGGAGGACTTCGACGACTGCTGCGACGACATGGACGAGGGCGTGCACGCGGGGCCCTCCATCGCGGACCAGCTGGGCCCGCCCCTTAAAGGCTACGTTCAGGAGTGCAGTGGAAGCCCATGCCAAGAAGCACCCTGCTTGCCTCCAGGGTGCCTTGGGTTTCTTGGGTTTCGATGGTCCTGCTATGCGCAGCGCTCCCACATCAAGACTCGGTGGACGTCCTGGAGACTCAGGGTTGGGTTCCTCGCGGAAGGTTTCTGGTGGGCTGGCCTCCACTGCACGCGGGCGCTGGCCGAGGCAGCTGTCGGCTTCCGCCATCCGCCGAGGGTGCCACGCCGAGCCTCTGCGGCCCCCCTCGGTCGGGCCGTGTCGGGCACCTCGTCGCGAGGACCCGCCCCGTGTCGGCCTCCTCGGCCCAGTGCGCACCATGGTCCTTCGCACTGGCGCCCCCGCTCGCGCCCCGTCCCGGTCCTCAGATCTCACCCCTTCGGCTTCGTCTGGCGGGCGTGGAAGGCAGCGTGGGCGGCCAGGTCCCCCCTCCCCGTCCGTTGCTCCGCCCCCTCGGTCCAGCCCTCTTCATCGGCAGCAGGCCATGGGAGCCTCATATAACTACCCTCGTGATTCCGTCTTTCGCGTCGAGTCGCGTCGATCGGCGTCTGGGAGTCGATGAGATAGCGCCCGTTTAGCGTCGGCTTGCGTCGATTAGCATCGATTGAACGTCGATTAGCGTCGACTAGCGTCGGTTCGCGTCGATCCGCAAAGCCGACAAGATGGTATGGGAGGCTCCCATGAGTTACCACCGAACTCTTCCCTCCCTCTCCCCATCTGCGGAGGAAGTCGCACAAAGCTGGTGAGCGGGTGAGCCGGCTGGCTGTCCGCGCCCGCCCGAGCCCTCTTCGTGAAGCGTGTGCTTCCCCCGTCCGCGGTCGTAACACTCGTGGGAGCTTCCAGGCAGCATCGGAGTCGGTACGTCCGTGGTCTTGGGCTTGATCGGCAGTGGGGCGCGCACCCAGAAGCCGGACGCACGTCGTCGGAGTACCTCGGAGTTCTCCGCCTCCCGCGATGCGCAGTGCATGCCCCCGAGCCGTCGCGAAGCTGCTGCGCCCAGGGTTCATCCTGGGCTTCGGGTCTGGGCATCTCGCCACGGGAGAGCTGCCTCCTAGGCCCCCCCCGTCGATCCCCCTCCGTTTCGTGCTGCTCCCTTTCCTTTCGCGTGCGCCCTGCAGGGGGCACGCCCCCGCGCACGCCCGTGCGCGCGAGCCGCCCCAGGATGCCGGCGGCGCACGCTTGCCCTGGAGGCTCCGGGCCGCGGCCCGTGCTGTCGCCACACCGCTCCTGCCCGTCGCTGTCGCAAACGCAGGGGCCCGCACCGTAAGGGAGCCCTCCCGCTTCGATGGCAGCTCACGGGAGCTCGATGGCTTAGGTGTACAGTCGTTTCGCAAAGTCAGCGCCCCTCTCAGGTATCGGTGACAAGACGACAAAGCTCGCCCCTTTTCCCCCCGTGTTTCAAGGTTGACGAGGAAGCCGTGCCCCCTCGCAGAAATAGGCGCTTATTTTGAAACACGTCGCGCTCCCTTTTGGTGCATTCGTTGGCCAACTTCGAGATACGGGGCGCGGGGGCGGGGCGCTCTGGCATTCTACGAGTGGGCGTTTATTTCGCAAACGGCGGCGTGTCCTCGACATCCCGTGTACTGTATCAACGTGCGCTAGAATATGCCAGCAGGCTGACATGGGAAGCTCCCGTTCGTTTCCTCAGAAGTTGCCTCCGAGTCCCCCCCTTCCCCTCAATCCCTCCATCCCTCAGGCCCCCCGCTTCCTCCATCGCTCCCGCCCCTTCCCCCCCTGGCGGTCCGACAAATAAGTTGGAACCTGGAGGGTACAGTGGAGACCCATGCCAAGAAGCACCCTGCTTGCCTCCAGGGTGCCCTGGGCGTCTTGGGTTCTGATGGTTCTGTTATGGAAAGCGTGACGGTTCCACGTCGAAAATCAATGGGCGTCCTAGGGTCTCAGGATTGGGTTTCTTGTGGGAAGTTTTTGGTGGATTGGCTTCCGTTGTACCACGTCATGACAAAGAGAGGATCATCACGCAGACCAGCACACCACATGCGAACCCTCTGGCAACCAAGCGAGGCCTCTGCGCACCCGTCGCGGCGTCACTGCGCGCCGGCCTAACCTTTTTTGACCATATGCTTCCCAACCGTAGACGGGCAAATGCGACGGAGAAAACGGCGATGTGGACTTCGGTAATGTGGGAACGCGTGGTTCGCGCTTTCCTGCAATTCGCTTGTCGTGTTCGCTCGATCCACTCGCATATAGGAAACGTAGGGAAGTGTGGCTCGTGAGTTCCTGGAATTTGGTTCCCAACGTCACCGTTAAGCAACATCGCCGTTGGCCTCAAATCGGGCATGCCCCTACACAGGAGGAGCATGCAACAGTTGCCAAGACATAGTCAGGTGGCGATGTTGTTGAGCATTGCTGATTATCTGTTGAATGTGTTTTGAGCGTTTCTTAGCTACCCTCCAAAACCTGCCTGCAGGTGGACGTGCCCGACCTAACGTTGGCCCGAGCTCGGCCCACGCTGCGCCGGGCTCCGCGGCGAGGCCGCGGGAGCCGCGGTGCTCGGAGCCCTTCGGCCGCGCTGCCGGGGCGCGCTCCCGCGACGGCCAGGCCCCGCGGAAGCGCGCGCGGGCGGCCCTCGCGAGGGCCGCGGCCTCGCGCTCGAGGGCGGTCATCAAGCAGAGGCGAGGCGTCCCGGTTTGCCTAAAGGCCCACCATCACCACCCACCAGACCACCCCAACCCAGCCCGAAGGCCCAAATTTATCCTCGATTTCCAGTGGGGGGGGGGTCGGGGAACCTTGAAAAAAACACATGGAACCCGTACCCCCCCCAACCCGAAGTTCGGGTCAAATTCGGGTCTTCGGGTTGGGTTGGGGTGGTCTGGTAGGTAGTCACACCAAAGAGTGTTCGAAGAAGTTGTCGTGGTTCGCACGGAGTGTTTGCAGGACGTGTACGGCTGGGGCTCTCCTGTTTTGGCACATCGGGCTGGGGTGTTATAAGAACACCGTTTTTGTCATGCGAGCACTTGTGGGTTTTAAGGGGAACATGTCGTGGTAGGTCTGTACGAATACCGGGACGGTCGGTCCCTGCTCAAAAGACGGTCAGCATGATTCCGGCGTCGCAAGTTCAGTCGTCCAGCGTCTCGGGCAAATCAAAATAGTTTTTGGGCTCTCGGGGCCTTGGCCGGGTCTCGTGACATTGCAAAAGCGACAGGGTCGAGAGGTGGGGGACTCGCGTGTGGAAGAAATCGAGACGCCGGCGCTCCGAGTCTCTAGTCGTGATTCTTCACCAGACAGCAATTTTCTCGTTCAGTCTGTAGGCCTCCCAGATGGGGTCGGAGTAGATGTGGTCGGTGGATCGTGCCGCATCGCCGATGCATCGACGATGCGGCTCGATGCGGGGACCCTGCTTCCACACGCAGGCGTCGCCGATGCAACGCCGACGTCGGCGATGCATCGCCGATGCATCGCCGATGCATCAGGATACATAGGCGATGCGGCGCGATCCTTCGACCCCATCTACTCGGACCCCATCTAGGAGGCCTCTGTAGTCGGGTCTCAGTGGTGGGCGCGGGTGGGCGGGCGGCAGGATGCCCGGAGACGGGGGGGGCGCCGGCGAGTGGGCGGCGAGCAAGACACGGCACAAACATGATATCTCGGAGGTCCGCGAGGACTTGTTGGATCGGCGCCAGGCCTCCCCGGCAGCGCCTCTGGCGCCGCCCCCGGCGCGCTCCGCGTGCCGGGGAGGGGGTCTCAGCGCCCTTCCATGGAATCCGCACGGACCTCCGAGGAATGATCTTTACATCTAGTTGTTTGTTCCTCTACAGTTTTGGGCCCTGAAGAAGGAACCCTTTTCGTTGGGGAGGGGCTCCGTGTTCCTTAAAGTGTTTCACAGCTTGCCTCAGGTGATCCTTCTGCTTTCGATCGGAGATCGAAGCTTAACTCATGGAAGAAAGGGGCCTCGTTCCTTGTTTTTGGGTTCCTTAGGTCCACGCCCCCGATTGTAATTAGGGGTGCTGGCCACCGTCCGCGCGCCTCGGGGAGGGGGCTCGGTGGGTGCCCCCACGGCGTCTGGTCGGCCGTGCAGCAGGCGCTCCAGCACTCCTCGGCGTGGGGGGATGGGGCGTCTACACCTTAGGCGATGCTTAAGAAAACCTAAGTTTTCGTCCAGAGTCTCGATTATTCTTAATTTTCCCATGTAAATCCCAAGATTTTGATAGAAGTTCCGGGTTTTATTCAATTTCTGAGACTGTGAATTTCTTAACCCATGATTTCTTGAGCATTTCGCAGGGTGTACGTGCCAGTCCTGGATAGCTCCCTGGAGAGCTAAGGGGGCCTCGGATTAGAAGCCGACAGCACAGGGCATGTAGCTGCCTAGCGGAGGCAATGCTCGTGGGGTCAGAGCAAGCCTGAGCAGCCCAATCAGGCCCAAGGTCCGAACTTGTTGCGAATGTGTGTCGTAGGGATTGTTATTGACGGATCAAGCGCGCCGGCTGAGCGTATTGGGATCTGGCCCTGGAAACAATGCTGCCCCCCCCAAGCGACTTCCAATCTTTAGCTGCCTAGTCACGGCCCCCGAATCCCCGCAGCGGCTCCTGTGAGGCTGCAGCGTGTTAGGGGAGCGGGTGCCTACTCGTTCCCACAACGCGTGCCGGAAGCCTCTGCGAAGCTCCTTCGAAGCGCTTCGGAGGCACGAAGATCTCACTTCAAGCTTGCAAGCTATCTAGGCATCCTTTCAGGCGTCCTTGCAAGCGTCTCCGCTAAGCTGGTCCCAGATAGCTCTTGAGAGCTAAGAAGGATTCAGATCAGAAGCTTGTAGTACAAGCCCCGGAGAACGTTCCGGCGCTGGGCAGGGATCCCCGCAGGAGCTTGATTGAGGCTGCAACGTGTCCCGGACGCGTTGTCCGACTCTTTATATATGCCGCAGCGTTGCGCAGCTCTTTCGCAACACTCCCTGAGCTCCTGCGAAGCTCCATTCTCGAGCCTGCAAGTTCCCTAACTAGACATCTTTTCTAGCGTTCTTGCAAGCGTCTCCCACAAGCTTTCACGCGTCTTTGACTGCTCCACTATCCCGGTTTTGGACACAAGTGCTGCATCGAGCTCCTTGGCCGACCAGGCGACTCGGTACATGCATCGAGCCCCTCCCAGACTCGGGGATCTGAGGGAAAACGGCCTCCGGCGAGCCATGTGTTGGGAGGAGGGCTCCGGGGGGGCCCTCATCGTGGAACAGATGCCACGTCGAGGGGCTGGCAGGCAGCGGAAGAGGCGGTGCCCACCGAGGTGCTTTCAGCAGGACCACGGCTGTCGGTGCGAAGGCCAGCCGTCTTCTGCTCGCTTGTTGCCTCTTGCGGTCTCCTCATGGCGGCCGGCACGGTGAACGATGTGCGCGCGTCACGCTTGCGTGCTTCATCTCGGCTGGTGGTCCTGCGCGCTTCGGCACGCGAGCGACGCAGGAAGACGGGGTCGTCTGCGCCGACAATCGCGCGTAAGTTGCCTGCGCAAGGTCGCGCGTACTTGAGCGCCCTGGTCTCCAATGTAGCGTGCGGCGCTGGCGGCACGCGTGAGCTGCGGCGCAAAGGTGGCTATGTGATATTGCGTGCGACCCCTGTTCTCTTTGTCATTCACAGACTTTTCAGCACGCCCCACCGCAGTGAGTCTGCCTGCTGCTTCCCGCGCGGCTCGAGGTTCCCGTGGCCGGCGGCGGGCTGGTGCCAAGAGAGCACCCCGCCCCCGGCCGCGCAGAAGGAGCGCGCGGAAACACAGCGTGGTAGCGGCAGGCAGCGAACGCGACCACGCGGGCAGGAGGCGTTGAATGGAAGAGGATCGGGTGGGGCGAAAGGGGGAAGGGGTAGGGGAACAAAAAGTTGCATAACCATAAAAACTCGGAGGTCCGCGCGGATTTCTCGGATCGGCGCTGGACACCCCCTCCCTGGCGCGCGGAGCGCGCCAGGGGCGGCGCCGGAGGCGCCGCCGGGGGGTCCCAGCGCCGATCCGAGAAATCCGCGCGGACCTCCGAGTTTTTATGTTTATGTCACTTTTGGTTCCCCTAGGGTGGGGGGGTGCGACATCTGCTGCGTGCAGCTCTTGTGCCACCGCACTCGTCCACGCAGGATCGCCTCTGGCGCCGGGGAGGCCAGCTGCGCGCAGCTCGCTGGCGCTCCCTTTGCTGTGTCCCCTTCTCCCCCGCCCTTGGGAGGGGCAGGAGGAGGAGGAGGAAAAGGAGGAGGAGGAGGAGCAGGGGCAGGAAAAGGAGGAAGGGGCGGGGCGGGGGCGGGGGCAGGGGCAGGGGGGAGAAGACCCAGACTCCGGCCTCGTGATTTTCGCGCAGGGTGGCTCTCAGAGGTCCAGGCCAATTCTCCGGGACCAGCTCTTCGTCCCGAGCCGTTCTTTGAGGGACCCGGGGCACGTGGAGGGCACGCGTGGACTAGCGGAGCGGACGCGTGGACTAGATGATACAACTATTGCGCGCCGAGCGAGGTCTCCCGGGTTCCCCCCACCACAAGTGCCCCCTCTTCGCAAGCGGCGGCGGGACCCCCGGGGCCCTGGCGGTCCGCGCCTCCGCGGGTCGCCGCCGCCGAGATCTCGTGGGAGAGGGCACGGAGCATGGAGCATGAAGTCGGGCAGGTCCCTCTACAGGAGGAAGATTCAAAAGTAGTCGAACAAAAAGTCAGGGGACGACTTTTCCGTTGTTTTGGACAATCTGTGGATCTGTTTGAGCTAACTTTCATATTTCTTTCAAAATCCGCCTGTGGGAGGACATGTCCGACCTAAATCAAGCATCAGGAGAACGTCTTCTATCCACTGGCGACAACGGGCGCGACGGCGAGGGGGGAGTGGGGAAGTGGGCTGGTCATCAGAAAAGGAAGAGGTACCCGTGCCGCTGCCCTACCCTCGTGTTCCCCCTTGGGGCTTCCTGGGTGGCCCTAGTCGCCACCGTTGGATGCGCCTCGAAAGCCTGGTCCGACCGCACCGCGGGAGAGGTCCCAGGGGCAGCCGTATCGGTAGTTGTTCGGTTTCCCCAGGCCACGTCACGATGCGCGTCCAGAAGTGCCCGTGAATTGCAGAGTCCCAGACGGCGCCGGCGCGACTCGTGACGAGACCGGGGAGGGGGGGCGAGGGGGGCTATTGTCACGGGGCCAATTGCGAATCATTGGAGGAACGGGGCTCCTGGCGCTGTGGAGCAGGAGTCACGTGGGGCGGCCTGGGGCACATTGCTGCTGCTCGGAGGGGCCCTCCGGGGCCCCAAGGCCGTCGCGTGACGAGTCAGGATGTAAAGCCAGCTCCAGGAAAGGGTGAGGACCACCTGGGATCCACGCCTTGAAGAAGTCGTGACGTCGGGGGTCTGAAGTGAAGATTCGCCACGAAGGAAAGGAGTCCCGAGGGAAGCGGCCCCGGTGGAGGTTCTTCACTGTGTCCAGTCTCCCGGGGCTTCTGGTGGGTGCATCTTGGGGGGCTTCTCGTCGCCACGGCTGGGTTCCCTGCGTCGAAACGAATCCGCTCAGGACCCGCTTCCCTCGTGGCAGAGGAGGAGAAAGGCGAAGCGGAGGAGGAGGAGGAGGAGGAGGAGGAGGAGGAGGAGGAGGAGGAGGAGGTGGAGGCGAGGTGGTTGATGGTTGGCAAGGAGGAGGAGGAAGAGGAGGAGGAGGAGGAGGAAGAGGACGAGAAGCAGGAGGAGGAAAAATCAGGACGTCGCGGTGGGGAGGAGACGACGAGGGGGCAAATGTGGAGAAGGAATAATTCTAGACGCTTCGCGTATCCCCACCAGCTTCCATGGTGGTCGATTTTTACCAGGCTTTGGCCCGTACCCCCCTCAGATGCGTGCGGGCTGGCCGACATTCCAAGTGAGTGAGTGGTTTGGCCCCTTCCGCCTGGCAGTCCGGCTCCACCTGCGGGTCCGACCTTTTTTGCTCCCTTCCTCGCTCGCTGGCACACGTTCAGCGGCCGGTTAGTGGCTTGATCGCTGGCAGATGTTCAGCGTTACTTTTGCTGCTGGCACACGCTCACTTGCTTCTCGGCCGGCACAGTGTTGCGCCGTTAATTATCTGCTTCTCGCGCGCTGTGTCCCAGCCTCGTTCTTACCGCCCTCTGGACTTTTCCTTGCGGGCCGCGAATCAAAAAACAAGTATCCCCACCAGCCTCGGGGCCTCTCGGCTACGGCCATTCTGGGAGTTGCAGCCTGCCAACGCTTTCGCCTCCACCCTTGTACTCTCGCTCGCGCCGACGTCCGGGGCTTCGCCTTTGCAGTTCTCAATTGCACCTTGACCGACGGTTCTTTGGCAGCGGCCACCCTGGTGCTCACGCAGTTGTCCAAGGTTCGGACTCATGCATTAATTCTACGGCCTGACCCTTCTCGTCGTTTATCCCTACTTCCTGGTGTTTCCGACGCCCTGCATATTTGCACGCTGGCAGTTCGACTCAGTCTCGCTCAGTTACCCCTGCCACCCGCCCGCCGCTGGGCCGCCGCGTGAGGCCTTGACTCGCCGCCGGCGCGCTCGCCCGCGGCCGCTGACAAAAAAGTATCCCCACCAGCCCATCCAGAAACGATGTCCAGGCGAGTTGAGGTGATCAGGGAAGTGCGGCAGGAGGACGGCCGAACCGTGCAAAAGAGTGAGGAGGAGAAGGAGGATGTGGATGGATGGGTGATGGAGTGGGAAGAAGGAGGATGAATAGGATGAGGAGGAGGCGGAGGAGGAGGAGGAGGAGGAGGAGGAGGAGGAAAATAAGGAGCAGAAACAGGAAGGAGGAACAGGAGGAGGAGGAGGAGGAGGAGGTCAAGCACAAGGGCCAGAGGTCTCTTGGATGCCTCTCGGAGCCTCTTGGGGTATCTCTTGGGCGATTCTTGGTGGCCTCTTGGGACGTCTTGGGGGTCTCTTGGCGATCCTGGGGGTCTCTTCGGGGTCTTGGGTGCGTCGGGGGGGGGCCTCTTGGGGCCGTTGAGGGTCTTCTTGGGGGCCTCTTGGGGGTCTTCTTGGGGCCATTGTGGCCATCTTCTTGGGGCCTCCTGGGCTTGGGCAAAAAAAGAGCGGATCTTCAATTAGGGTTGCCCCCCCCCCCCCCCTTCCCAGGAGGCCAAAATGGGGCCAAAACCCGAATCAAATCAATGATGTTGGCTTCCTCGCCGAGGCCGTTTTGGACGCCCTGACCGCTCGCGGCCCCCCCCGTCCAGGTCCACGGGGAGGGGGTAGGGGGAGGGGTAAACCCCCCCCCGAAGGGAAGAGGGAGGGGTGGAAGAGGAAACGTTCTAAACCACCGACGCCCAGAGGGCTGGTGAGATTAGGAGGACGTGTAGATGGAGGAGATGGAGCAGGACGAGTCCCACCAGCCCTCTGGGCGTCGGTGGTTTAGGGCGTTTCCTCTTCCACCCCTCCTTCTTCCCTTCGGGGGGGGTTTACCCCTCCCCCTACCCCCTCCCCGTGGACCTGGACAGGGGGGGCCGCGAGCGGTCAGGGCGTCCAAAACGGCCTCGGCGAGGAAACCAACATCATTGATTTGATTAGGGTTTTGGCCCGATTTTGGCCTCCTGATGGGGGCAACCCTAATTGAAGCTCCCCTCTTCTTTGATAGATCTCCTCCAAGATGGCCCCAAGAAGCGCCCAGGAGGCCCCAAGATGGCCCCAAGAGGCCCCAAGAGGCCCCCAGGAGGCCCCCAAGAGGACCCCAAGCGGCCCGAAGAGGCCCCCCCGAGGCACCCAACACGCCGAAAAGCCCCTCAGGGCGACCCTCTACTCGCCTGGGCGTCGTTTCTGGATGGGCTGGTGGGGATACGCGAAGCGTGTAAAATTCTAGGAAGAGTTCTCTGCTTGCCGTCGCTAGGAGATGCCCATTGTCTGTATCCCTTCATCTGTGTTGCGAGGTGACCGTGTCCTCGGCGGCTGCAAATTTCTTGGACGCAAGCCGTTGATTGAAAGCGAGCTTCGGAGTCCTCTCATTCTTCCAAGTCGCGAAACACAAGCACGGCAGTCGTGTTTGCATCGGTTGGGGCCGCAGGATCCCCACATCGATCTGGCTACAAAGCTTCCATACGGAGAGGGTACTCGAGTGTTCTATCGTGGATGTTTCACGGCATCGGGTAAAGCGGGATGGTCAGTAGGCCATGAGGGTCGGCCACTTTTGCTGCACATGTTCATGTCTCCAGTGTAGTACCCCCTCTGATGGCATACAAGGATTGCTGTCCCAGGATTTGATCCGCGTCATCAGGGCAAGGAAGTTGGAGGTGCCATAACTTGGCTGGCCGGGGCTCCTGACACCCGAATCAGTATACCTTTCTTACATTCTAGGCGCCTCGCGTAACCCCACCAGCCCATCAAAAAACAAT